GGGGATTGAACTCAGGCCCTTGCACTTGCCAGGGAAGCGCTTATTCTACTAGGCCATCTCCCCGGCCCCCCATTTTTCTTTTTGAGATGGCATCTCACTACATTGCCTGGGCTAGCCTGGAATTCTTGGGCTCAAGTGATGCTCCTACTTGAGCCTCCTGAGTAGTCGAGACTAGGTGTGTACTATCACAGTTTATTTGAAATTATTTTTTTTGAGACAGTGTCTCACTATGTAGTTCAGGCTGGCCTCAGTCACAGTGATCCTCCTGCTTCAGCTTCTCCAAGTGTTGAGATTATAAGGCATATGCCACTGTGCGTGACAACTGACTTATCTTTAGGGTTTGCAAAATCAACTAAAGAAAACAGGTATGCAAAGCCAGCCAAATCAAACAAACAGGAAATAATTCCAAATAAGCAAATAAAGTTAGCCAACAGAATCACAAAGTGCCATATGTGCAAATATCAACAACTGAGAACTGTAAACATGGTATAAATGTAATGTCATAAAAGTCATACATGACTTTACTCAGTATTTACTGAGTGTTTTCCTTTGTGCCAGGCATACGGGTGGGTTATGTCTTGGTAGAAAAGTTCACTGTTACATCAATGCATGCCCTACTAGTCTTGACATCGTACCTCTCCATCCTGCATATAAGACAAGGAACATTTGTAGGAAATCTAATGTGAATATCAAATACTAAAGCAAATGTAATTGTCTGAAAACCCAATTCCATGCTTAACTTCATTTCTAATGTGAGGCAAAAAATATATAAATCCCAAACATAAGTTAGTTAGCTCCATTTTACAGCAGTATTTGGTTGGTAGGGAGGACAAAAGGGAGGAAGGAAGCAAGACAAATGACAATTTAGAGATAATAAAAAATGCTTACTATGTTATTTATTCCAGTTTCAGACAGGTCAAACATCACTGTAATAGGTTTACCATTTTCTCTCTTAGCATAACGTTCCAGCCAAAAAGCTATGAGCTTCTTTTTGTCCATTATTGTTTTTTGGTCTTTTATATGATATTTCACCCTGATCCAGACTTTCAGCAGAACAAAAGATAAAAATAAGAACAAGATTTAGAGCACTTTAATATTAATATACATGTATAGCCTTGCCCTTGACATGTTTCATACATTTAAAATGTTGCTTCTTTCTTTTAAATGAGAAATACCTATATTTGGGACCTTTAATAAAAAAGCTGCAGAGAGACAAACTAGTTTTCTTCCTAGGAAGTAAATACACTTCACTTTTAAGTAAGGGGAAAAAATGCAGGTGAGCAAACACAACTTGGCAATAACCTAAAAGTACTCTTCAGTGTGCTTAAAGAGAGAGCCAATGGTTCCGTCAAACACTAGAAACATTGTTTTTCTCAGAGGAAAGGCACTGACAGTTATGATGGAACCTGGGCACGTGAACAGAGCATGGCAAACCCTTGAGGTGGTTACAACTGCCATAAAATGCAATGATTGAGGACAGAAGGTGCTAAATACAGACAAGCTATGCTTGAAGAACTTTGACTGATATGCTGGGGCATCTTGATTTTCCTATTTCAAAACACCTCTTGGACAGTTGAAGGAAGAATGCACTCAAAGAAGCAGGGAATGCAACCCAGGCCACAGTATGGGAAGGGACTAAGAACCAGGGAGTGAATGGTACTTAAGCTGAGAACTGAGGAAGTAGTTCTTAGTGACAGAAAAGGAGCCAATTAGAATCTACATCAGAGGAAGAGGCAATGAATGGGCTGCAGGTTGTCAATACCCAAAGGTGGCAAGTGGTAAGATGCGGAAGGTCAAATGTGGGCCTTGCTGAATGAAGGTGGCTGAGACATAACCAAGTGGCACCAGTGGTGCACGTGGCCTGGGAACTGTGTAAGATCCCCACAGTGTTTGGGGAGGGAGCTGAAACTGCCAGTATGCCTGAGATGACCCAAGGAGATAGTATCAGCTGGAAAGTAAAAGAAGGCCAGAAATGAATGAATCCTGGGAAACATGGTTTAGGGAGAGGAGACACAAGAGCTGTGAGAGAACAGTGATAAGAAACATATACAAAGAGAACACTGTTAAATACAGCCCAGATCACAAGCTTCAGAGAAGTCAAGCAGGGTAAGCACAAAGTGTGTGTTCAGTCTGGGCCTCAAAATTCCTTGCCAAGGCCCACCCTTGGTACAAAAGAAAGCTGTATTTGGGGCAAGTGGGAAAGAAGAACAACAGTCACCTCAACAACAAAAATGAATGTTACTGTTCTTGTTATAGTCCTCTCAGAAAAAGCTAAGGGGAGAAGATTATGGGAGACACTAATCAAGTCCATATAGTGACCTTTTGTCATTTCCAAAGAGTCTCCATAAAAATGCAAAATTAAATGTGGACCTTATGTATAGTTAAATTAGAAAGAAGAGAACAACTCTACATCAAGTTATTTTGGCTTTGTAACAGGATGTGACATTTGCTCTTATCACTTACTTCATTATAACATACACAGTGTAAACAACTACTAGTATCTGACAACTGGTAAAGATGACCCTAATGATTCTTAACTGCACAAGACTTGCCATATGCTACATACAGAGATAGTTCTGGCAATTATTAATTAAACTGAGACAGATACTTACATCTAAAAATTTGAAAAGTCAGTGCATAAATTAAATATACTTACACAATTTGTTGCCTTCTTTGTCATAACCATGGAGGTAAATACCACCAACTTCTAATAACCATCTGGGAATGGAAGATTCATTAAGGTCTAAAAAGTGATAAATTGTCGTCAGAAATTGTAATTTAGGCCTCTAAAAATAAAACTCACAATGTAAAGATAATATTATACAGTAGGTCTAAAATAAAAAAAAATGTAACTTATTCAAACATCTGATGAGAACTCTGATGATGAAGGAAACACCCTAAGGACAAAACCAGTGACAGAACTAAAAAAGTTCATTTCCTTTAACATGTCAGCTATCATTTATGTGGCTACATTTCCACATTCTGCTTATGTCTCTCACAGTGATTGAACTTGTGAACTATTGTATCACTAATAGAAAATTTCAACAAAACATTGTAGGGACTCAGGATGCAGCTCAGTGGCAGAATACACGTTGAGCATACATGAGGCCCTGGATGGAAAAAAAACCCTATGTTGTTAAACAGTCACACAATCTCAGAATTAATGAGAAAAAGTACTTTGGTTTTTCTATTAGAATGGTATTTTTTTAGGGGCCAGGGAGATGGCTCAGTGGAACAAGCACTTCCCTGGTAAGCGCAAGGGCCTGAGTTCAATCCCTGGTTCTGCAAAAAAAAAAAAAAAAAAAAAGGTATTTTTACACAAAGTTTAGTATCTGATGCTAATGTATTCTACAAGACTTGGGGCAGTTGGAAAATAAGAAAACTGGAAGATCCTTTAGCAGGAGAAACAAAGGTCCTGTTCAGTCTCTGAGGAAGCTGAGGACCAATGTGGCAAGGCAGCCCACATCAAAGCTTTTATTTTATTCATTCCATGAACCTGCAAAGATTCCCTTTCTATACCCACTCCCACCATATCTCTACTCTTGGCCACTAAAACTAGCAATTCTATGTGAGAACACAAGTAGTGTTTAGCTTAAAGGTTTATTCTGGACCTTACAGTTTTTTGCTTAACAAGTTCTTCAATGTTTGTTGAAATTACTTACGAGTTTTATAAATATATATATATATATATATATTTGTTTTGTATTTTAGGGAAGGGTCTACAGGGTGTTCAGGGTCTCACTACTAGATCAGACTCCTAGTGATCAGCCTGTTTACAGCCTCCCAAGAGCTGGGATTATAGGCGTGCACCACTACGCCCAGTGTCAAATGCTGTCTCAGCAGACACTGGGGGAAGGGCCAGTAAGGCAGGCCCGGGGATAGAACCCCCGACCCCTGTGCCTGCTTGCTGCTTGCAGGCACTTTAATCCGCTGAGCTATTTGGGAGTTTTATATTTCAAATCACCTCATTTCTTAGCGATTTCTTTCCTCAAGTATTGGTTGTGTAAGTAGGAAGCCTGTGGACTATCTGCTCTAGATTTATTTGTTGACTGTTTATGTTAGGTCTTCAGAGTCACTCACTCCAGAGTCTATAATCTTCAAGGGGGAAGACTGTAAAGGAAATCCTTCTTTACAGCTAATTGAAACTGGTAGTTATGTCAGCTTATTATTAAATCTTTACACAAGGACATTCTTCATATATTTGAACATCATTATAAAACTCCGAGATTTAAAACTCCCATTTTGGGGGGATATTTCCAATCTAACAGTGGCTCTAAAAACTGAGAATTTCAAGAGAAGGCTTCAGTAAAGCTGCACAAAGCACCCTTGGGGATAAACTTGCTTTTCTGAGACTCCCATCCACTGAGCAATTCCATGGAATACTCATAAGCACAAGGAATTCGGGGATAAGGACAGATGTGGGCAGTGACTAAGAAAAAGTGTCTCCTTATTTCCACAGCCATCAGAGAAGACAATGCCTTGCTGTTGTTTAATAGTATTTAACTAAATGCACACCAAAAGACTAATGAGTGTGATTCTGCTCCCTGTTAATTTGATTTCCTTATGAATGATCCTACTTTTGTAAGATTTTTTCACAAGCTAGTTCCTTTGAAAGTATCAGATCTTTCTAAAGACTTAAGAGTCTGGCAATTTATCATGACTACTAATGCACAATTTGATACACAGGGTAGTAATATTCATGCAGGTGATATTACCCTATCAAAGTTAAATAGAACAGTTTACCATTGACAGAAAATTCTTTTCTCCACTGAAAACTCTCATCAATCATCTTCAGTGTTTCATCCACAACATTATGTCTCCAATGTAAATAACTTTCAACCCAGTTATCATCCTGTTGTAGCCTTTCAACATCACGTGGATCATATTTATCTGAATTGTCTAAGAAAAACAAAAACATCCAAATTAGATTAATTATGCAATCAAAAATAAACACTAATACCAAAGGAGATGAAAGACCGAATACAAAGCCAAGCTTCTTTTCATTTTTTGAGACACAGTCTTGGCTGGCCGTGAGCTCACTACATAGCCTAGGCTGACCTCAAACTTAAGGTAATCCTCCTGTCTTAGGCTTCTGAGTACTTGATTACAGGCATGTACCACCACCCAGTTCTAAAGCCAACTTTTCTGAGAACAAAAGAACATAATTCAGATGAAACAACACATTCATGACAGGGTCATAATTCACGTCTCACTGTAGAAGGGGTGGTACATGCATAGCTATTCCATCAGGTACTTTCTACTTCTTAAAAAATCCTTATTCTTATTCTGTATTGATAGAGGGTTTCGCTAGCTATGCAGCTTGGACTCAGTGATCCTCCTGGTTTCAGTCTCCCCAGCACTGGGAGTACAGGTGTGTGCCAGCACAGTCACGGTTCGGGGCCAGCACAGTATGCCAGCACGACATGCAGATGAGGTACTAGGGATGGAACTCAGGTCCTCGTGCTTGACAGGCAGGCACTTAGATTGATGAGCTATCTCCCTAGTCTCAGCAGGCACTTTTTAAAAAACTAATTTTATTAATAAAAAGAATGACAGAAGTGATTAGAACTGTGTGTAATACCAGTGGCACAAGTCTTTCGATGAGACAGTCACACATGTTACCAGTGATTCAAGCCAGTGAGAATGTGTTAAAGGTTTGATAAAATTTCTCAATGAGAGGAAAAAACAAAGTTATCTAAACACTGCAGGGTAGAAAAATAAAACTATAGCCTGGTGTAGAGGCACACACCTGTACTTCCAGTTGCTTAAGAGGCTGAGGCAGGAGAATCACCTGAGCTCGTAAGTTTGAGACCAGCTTGGGCAACGGGGCAAGACCTTGTATCAAAACAACACAGAAACAAACAAAGCTAATAATATGATCATAGTAAACTAGTTGGCACCATCCCCTTTAATTACAACTAACATCTGAGAATATCAATTTTGTGAACTTGAAATTCCTGTTGTAGTCAACAATATTTTTTTTTGTACAGAAATAAACTATTCTTAAAAAGTTGTTTTGGGCTAGGGAGATAGCTCAGTGGTCTAAGTGCCTGTCTGGCAAATGCAGGGACTCAGGTTCAATCCCCAGGAGTGCATACCATACCAGCCCTGAACCCTGGGTGCACCGTGCCAGCTAAAACCAGGCATGGTGGCACACACCTGTAATCCCGGCACTGAGGAGGCTGAGACAGAAGGATCACTATGAGTCTGAGCTGCATAGTGAGACCCTGCACCAATTAAATAAATAAAAAGTTGTTTTACCAAGAGCCATAAAAATTACCCATATTTGCAACATTATGACATTTTCTATTTTTAGACTGAGGCCAACATTTCCAATAATCCATTAGGATAATTATTTCCAAAACAATTCCTCATCATCTGCCAACATACTTATATTCCTTGCAACCTCCATATCAGCTACACCTCCTTACACACCAACTTCTCACTATCTTCTTGTAACTGTACTCTCCTTGTCTCTGCACAATTATCTGCACACATTCCATAACACTCCTTTCAGCTGCTTCCTCTTCCCATGAAATTTTCTCTGTATCCTCTGTGAAAAGCAATAGAACTTGAACTAAGCCTCTTTTAGGGTACTTAGCAGTTCTGATCTGGAATGAGACTACCTGGGATGCAAGCCGTAATTTTTCTAAATAGACAGTCTACACATTCTAAGAATCATCAGAAGCAACTCAAAGTAGAATTATGAATTCTTTCAGATAAATATAGTGGTCTATAAAACGGTAACTAAGGCGCCAGGGAGATGGCTCAGTAGAATAAGTGCTTCCTTGGCAAGCGCAAGGGCCTGAGTTCAATCCCTGGTTCTGAAAAAAAATAAAAATAAAAAAGGTAACTAATACAGCTGGCAACTCAAAGGTACTATGTAGAGGTGTTTTATGTGTACTTCCTAATTTTCTCACATAAGATTAAAAGGACATGCAAAAAGGGCAAGATTTAGTAAAATTCACTGACAATAGTTTTGACCTCTTGGACTTCTGAAAGTCTTACGCAACTTCTAGAGTCCCAGAATATACCAAAAACTACTTATAATATCTGACAAGTAGTTAAGTCTCAGTAAACAGCAGCCATAATAAGAAAAATAAACATCATTTTTACTATTACATAGGTAATACTACAGGGGGGATAACATATAAAAGACAGTGCTACTTACTAAAAAAAATTAAAGCCCAGTGGTTTTGGATAGCCTCTAGGGAAGTATGTCTTTGAAATGAGAAGCTTCCACCAATATTACAGTGATTAGTTTTTGCTATTAATAGATATGTTCTCACACATGAAATGCTCATTTTTAATCATTCAAGCCTAGAAAAATAGAGATGTGGGTTGAGTCTACAGTCCTCTGCTCTACCAGCTGAGCTATCAAAGGGTACACAGGCCTAGACAAACAGAAATAAAATGGATGTGGGGGGAGAAGAGAATGGAAGCATATGGTGCTTGGGAGATAGGCTGGAGGAAAGCAAAGGCAAAAGGGGGCAGAGGACAAGGGGATGGAACAGAGGCAAAGGCAAGGTAGGGAGAGAAAAAGACAGAGAAAGAAAAGAAAAACGAGGGAGGCAGAGATAGATAGAAGACGCATAAAGAAAACTGAGCCAAGGGCTGGCCAGATAGCTCAGTGGACTAAAGCACTAAAGTGCCTGCTTAGGCAGACTCAGGGACCGGGCTTAGATCCTGGGCCTGATGTGCTGGCCCCGCCCCCAGCACTGAGACCTGGATTAAGACTGGGCATGGTGGTGCATGCCTGTAATCCCAGTGCTTAGGGGGCTGGAAACAGGAGGATGAGTATGAGTCTGATCTGTGTAGTGAGACCCTGTACTAAACACATTTAAAAAAAGAAAAAAAGAAAACTGAGCTTTCAATCTAAGAAGCATGACCCAGGGGCCAGAAACAAGGCAAAAAGGGAGTAACTGTGTTTATGATATCATCTCCTGAGTCCAAACACAGCGCTCAGCCAACTGGGCTGGTAGGTGATTATTTTCAGAAAACCAATCCTATGGTGACGGCTTTCAACTGGCCTCTTCCAGTGGGCCCTGCAAGGGGTGATTAGGTCATGAGGGCTTCTCTCCTCATGGGAGGAAGGCCCTTATAAATGAAGCTTTATACACCAGAAGCTGAGGCTATAAGAATGGGAGAGTCCAGAACAATTCTCAAAAAATAAGCAACAAACAAATAAATGAACAAAGAGGCTTCACACAGTATTAGCTTGATTGCGCCTCTGCTTTGTTCTCTGTGAGGGGCTCAGCAAGGAGGGGCTCAGCAAGAAGACTCAGAGGTCAATACACTTGGTCTGAGCTTCTCAGCGTCCAGAACTCTGAGAAAACAAATCCTGCTCTTTCTAAATTAGGCAGTCTTCGGTATTTTTGTTATAGAGGCACAAAACAGACTACCATAAGTTGCTACTACAAGAAACAGCTAGAGATGTATTGCTGAAGATAGAAAAACATGACTGTATATACACACCTAGGACATCATTTTGAAAGACTCTGCCTTTACTGATTAAAGTGTAGAGCTGAGGAAGGGTTTAGTTTCCTCCATATATATTTTTTCCATAATTTTATTGAGAAACAAATACCAATGAGATAGTTTCAAACCAAACTGGTAAGACAGTTTCAATAATCAACACATTGCATAATTCTTCCTAGTGGTTAATTGCTGTACAAGATGTGGACTTGATATACTATTTACAAACACCATTAGAACAAATCCCTCTATTCATTAAGAGAATGTAACTACATATCTATCCTAACCACTTTGAATACACAGATACAAAATGGACATTCATCTGTATACCCTTTTTTTGTTAAGTTCCATCATTTAAATATTATAGGTGTGTAAACTCAGCAAAATATTCTAAGAGTTCAGTAGTCCATAATAGTATTATGTCTTCCACTTCACTGGCGATGTCAGAAATTGTTGACCTGAGTCCCCTACAGCTCAACATAACAGCATGGCTTTACTTCTTATACTTCGTTTTTATACTTTTCTGCTGGATAGATGTGTGTGTGTGTGTGTGTGTGTGTGTGTACACACACACACGTTTATAGTCTCATACTTTGCCCTTATTACTTTCCTCTTTCTGTAGACTAGTAAAAACATCACAAACTAACAACAAACTATGAGCACACCTCTCCTTCACTGACCTCTTTCATTTTAAATGTTTATTCTCATACAAGTTTTTGGGTATAAAACTAGCCTTATATTTATGTATACATACCAGCATCTAATAAATCCTCATGTCTATAATTTGGCAGAGGAAAAACTGAAGATACATGGCATTGGCAACTGATCTCTATGAACAAACAGAACTAAGTGTTCTAAGTTAAATATTATTTCTCTACTTCAGCTTTTCATCTCTGTTCTATACATACACTTAAAAATAGAAAGAAACTGTGGCCAGGTTTGGTGGCCCATGCTTATAATTGGAGCACTCCAATGGCTGAGGTTAGGAGGGTTCTCGGTAGTTCAAGGCCAGCCTGGGCTACAAAGTGAATTTAAGGCCAGCCTGAATTGCATAGCAAAACCCTATCTCAGGAAAAGTGCTACAAAATACAAGAGACTGTAAATCTTACTTGTAAAACAAAGTGTTATCATCAACAGGTCTGATATTTTGCTTTAAAGTTCACAAATGTGAAAAATTTCTAACCCACACTTTGGATATGGGTTAAAGTGATGGAATCAGAAGCCTCACACTACTACATACTGGGCAGAACGAGCAAGTCTCTCTGGGACTTATTTTCTTCTCTGTAAAATGAAGATAAGAATTGCATGCCTATAGTCTTTGGAAGATCAAGAGTACTGAAAAAAATTGAAACACTGTATCAATGAATTTCTACTAACATAAAGTAGAAAATTAACCATGAAAGAAAAGACTAAATTCAAGTATA